GAAGGAAGGAAGGAAGGAAGGAAGGAAGGAAGGAAGGAAGGAAGGAAGGAAGGAAGGAAGGAAGAAAGGAAGGAAGGAGAGGAGAGAGGGAGGGGAGGGGGAAGGAAAGGAAGGGGAGAGGAGGGGAGGAATAAAGGAAAGAAGGCGGGGCGGGAAGAGGCGGAGCCTGGAACCGGCCCCTCACTCGGCTGTGTCCGGGTTCCACAGCGCCAGACCCTCGCGATCTGCGCGACGAGGACCCTCCTCTCTGGGTTCTGTCTCCGCCTCGGGCCCAGCTCTTTAGGAGGCTGGGGGTTCGTGAGGTATTTTTTGTTGTTTTTGTTTTTGTTTTTTCAGCAAATTCAGAAATCAGGAAAGGGCGCGGTCCGTGCCAAGGCTAAGTCACTGTGTCGATGAGACAGGGAGTTTCTGGAGGGAGTGATAACCGCCAGCGCCGACGACAGCCCGGGGCTGCGGGCTCCGCGGGGAGCGGGGTCCGGCGCCGACGTCCCGAACCCGCAGACCCGGCGCCGGCCCGGCTCCCGGGGCTGAGCCCTGCGCAGGCTGCACCCGCTCTCCCGGCCCCGCCCGGGTCTGTGGCCCCGGGAGAACTGTTCGCCCTTTAGGAACCCCTGGCTCCCCGTTTTATTATTTTATTTTATTTGTCTTTTTGAAACAGGGTCTCGCTATGCAGTTCAGGCTGGCCTTGAACTCACTTTGTATCCCAGGTTGGCCTCAAACTTGCCACGATCCTCCTGCCTCAGCCTCCTGAGTGCTGGGATTACAGACGTGCATCACCACGCCCGGCTCTCCCCGTTTTAAAAGTCAGAAACAGCAAGGAAAAATCCTGAGCGGACAAACAAAAGGTGGCGCCGACCACTCGGCCGTCGGAACCTTTCCCGGTGCAGCACCCACCCCGGCCTTCCACCCTTCCCTTGCAGCGGGTTCTGCCGCGGGCGCACGGCGGGAACGCTCGTCCTCCGTGCGGGTCGCTGCGTCCAGACTTCTGTGCGCGCAGCTCTAGGGAGGCGGGCTCCGCACCGTCCCCGACGTGCAGCTGGCCAGGTGTGTGTGTCTGCTGTACCCTGGCAGTGAGCAGCTGGGCAGAACCCTTTCGCCAGCTGGGCTCGCGGAGACGCGGTCCAGAGGCTTCTGCTGAATCCCTGCAACAGTTTTCTCGCTATTCTGAATTTGAAGCTGCTAATGATAGGGACCTAGTGTTGCTGCCGTCAGCACTTAAAGAGGGGCTGGCAGAGAACAAAGTTGGGAGGGGAGCCCCAAATCCGGCTAGCTTGAGTACTTAGGCAGAGTCAGCCCTGAAGCAAGAGCCGCCTACGGATAAAGGACCCAGCAGAGTTCGGAGTAAGTTCCACTTTGGGCATAGGATGGTTTGAAGTAGGCTTTCTATCCTCTCAGGCCATGGACTTTGGAATCATGAGAACGGAGTTTACCTGTGGTTTAACACATTTTGGCTACAAGACCTTGGGCAGTTTACTTGACATTAGTACCTAAGGTTCCTGATCTAAAAAACGAGATAGTGGGGCTGGGGACTTAGCTCAGCGGCACAGTGCCTGCCTGGGAAGCATGAGGTCGTGAGTTCGATTCCCAGTAGTGAAAAAAAAAAAAGAAAAGAAAAAATGAGATGATAATATAGCAGTAACTTCACACAGCTTCAAACGGATTGTTATGAGACATATACAAGATGTCATCAAAAATATGATGAATAATTAATTTTTAAAATTTATTACGGTAAAAAACACATTGCCAGTGATCCACTTAGAATATTCCCCCTTGCTTCAAACATACGTGTCACATGAGACAGTCCTGGAGGTCCTCTTTTGTGCGTGTCTTACTTGAGCCATCATGACAGCCTCAGCGTCCTGAACTGATTCAAAACATTTGCCTTTCAAGGTCATTTCGACTCCGGGGAAGAGCCAGAAGTTGTGTGGCTCCAGAGCTAGTAAATAAGGCGGATGAGGACCCGCTGAGTGTTTTTATGAGCCTGCCTTTCCGCTGGATGGCACCTGCAGCAGCATTCGTTGTATGTTTATCACACTTCATACAGACACCTGTGAAAGAGCACCTCCAGAACTGCTTCAGAAAGCAGCAAGGATGATGCAGTAAGCGTATTTGAAGTAATGGGGAGGAGTCTGACGGTGATTAATGGCAACGTGTCTTTCGCTGTAATACATTTCTCAAGTTTAAATAGTTACCATATATTTCTTAAAATTTATTTATTTATTTATTTATTTTCAGACACAGTCTGGCTATGTACTCCAGGCTGGCCTTGAACTTATGGCGATTCTCCTGCTTCAGCCTCCTGAGTGCTGGGATTACAGGCATGTACCACCACACCTGGATCACTATATATTTTGATCACATCCCATAATAATGCCTCCTACATTGCAAATTGTATTTGGTGTTAGCTATTTATTTTATTATATTAATGCTAATTTAATGTGGCAATTATTTCTACCTCATAAGTTACTAAGGCGTGGAGGAATACAGCCAATGCACTTGAACGAAATGAAGAATAAGGACAGGTGGAATATTGGATTTTCACAGAAGGAAGAAGGCTTTAGTTGTATCATCCTCAGGTACAGTTGGCCTTGCTGACTGGGCTGGGAGACCAGGGCCCAAAATGCACTTGAAAGCCACCTTCATAAAAGGTGGGATTTGGTCAGGACCTTCACAATGTCTGCTGAGATTAAGAACTGTGGGTCAAGCTAAGCAATCATATCTGGGTAACCAACTTAACCGAGCTTCAATGAAAAGGTGAGGTTGGAGCACATTTTGGAGTAGACGTCATCAGTCTTGAAAATATATGGGCAGAGAGTGTCCTGGGAACAGGGCAGGGCCTGTGCAAAGGCCCTGGGGTGAGTGCCTGCTGGCAGTTTGGAGGAAGTGCCAGCTCAGGGAGAGCAGGGGGAGCAGCGGGAGATGAGGCAGAGGTGGACAGGGCCAGGGATGGGGATCTGCTTATAACATGGAGAAGACATGTGAGACAGGCTCTCAAAGCAGGGTTTCAACCAAAGGCGTGACAGCTGACTTCCATTTTTCACAAGCACGTGTGTGTGTGTGTGTGTGTGTGTGTGTGTGTGTGTGGTTTCCAGGCGCACATCCTCCGGCCTGGCCCCCGGGGCAAAGGCCTTTGTGCTGTGACTGAAATGTAAAAAGGGATAGCAAAGGGCCGGCGCCCACTGCACTGCACCTGCGCCCGCACAAAGGCTTTGGCCCGGACTTGGCACTGCGTGGGCTACACCTGTGGCCCACTCCACTTCCGCAGCCGTCCTCTCGCCAGCACGGGGACCCCACGCTTTTCCCAGGGGCCACGGGCTACGCCCAGAGAACGGAGTTCCTGGCCTCCTTACCATCATCGTCTCATTGACTTTCTTAGGGAAGATGTGCATGGTTTGCATCTTAGGGGGTGAATTTTGAATCAAAGGCAATGTTATGCCAATCAGAGAAAGAATCTATTTCCAAATATTTTATCTTTTGTGGCTGTTCTTGTTGTGGTATTAGGGAGTGAACCCTGGCAGCACTGAGCTATGTCTCCTGAACTTCTGATTCTTTATTTTGGGACAGGGTCTTACTAATTGCCCAGGCTGGACTCAGACTTGTCATCTTCCTGCCTCAGCCTCCGGAGAAGCTGGAATTACAGGTGTGACCAAGCGTACCCTGCTTTCTTTATTCTTTTTTTTTTTTTTTTTTGTGTGTGTGTTTTTGAGACAGGGTCTCGCTGTGAGTTCAGGCTGGCCTTGAGCTCACTTTGTAGCCCAGTTTGGTCTCAAACCCACAACGGTCCTCCTGCCTCAGCCTCCCGAGTGCTGGGATTACAGGCATGCACCACCATGCCTGGTGCTTTCTTTATTCTTTCTGGAGAAAGTGTCTTGCTATGTAGTTTAGGTTGACTTTGAACTCACTGGGTAGTGCAGGCTGGCCTCAAATTCATGGTAATCCTCCTGCCTCAGCCTCTCAGTGCTAAGATTACAAGTTTGTGCCACCACACCCAAGGTGCCTGGTTTTTATCAACATTTTTATCCAAAAGAGTAAGGATGGACTCATCAAGGAAGGCATAGGAGGGTACAAGGATGCCATGCAGAAAAGCAGGCCACGAAAATCAGACCTTGAAAGCCAGAAACCCAGGAATCAGGATTGTAGACTGGTATTGCTTGGCCTGCACATTTACTTTGATTTTTTAACTTAGTGTCTGAGAGATAAACATCAAGACTTTTCATGAGCTCAGACCACTCGATCCTCATTGAGATGCCACGATATCTGGGGGTGCTGAGCACAGTCCCCAGCTCTGCCCACCTGGACCCCACACTGCAGCAGCCCCATCTCCCTGCACACACGCTCTCCTGGAAGTTACAGCACCCCTTGGGTCTCCTTAAAAACTGAACTTGCCGTCTCTAACTTTAAGTAATTTCTGAGACCTTATACAGAGCAAACTCCAAACTGGTGTTCTAGAACTAACACAGTAAAGGAAATCTCAACTCTTAGACTCGTAAAACTTTTGAGACTAGCCAGGCGTGGTAGTGCACGCCTGTAAGCCCAGCACTCAGGCTGAGGCAGAAGAATTGCTGTGAGTTCAAGACCAGCCTGGGCTACAAAGTGAGCTCAAGGCCAGCCTGAACTGCACAAGACCCTGTCTCAAAAAAAAAAAAAAAAAAAAAACCTTTTGAATAAAAACAGAGAAGTTTCTAATTGTGTGTATTTATATCACAAAACGGGTATGAAACAGGCCAATGGTTTTAACACAGCTATCACAAGTGGCACCTCTAACCAGACCAAATCACAGAGATAAATTTAGACTCATTCAGAGCCATTAGGATTATTAGCTCTTGCATTAAAAAAAGCAGAAGTAATAACCTTGGGCCTCAGTGGAAACCAGTTCTTTAGCTCAAGTTCACTCATCTAAACTATAATTGCGAAGTTCCTGGTGTGGATACATCAGGACCAGGAACTGGAGTTGAACCAAACTTTGAGCCAAAATATGGAAGGGATCACATTCATTTATGAGACCCAGCACTAAACTGCAACAAAACACTACTTTTTCTAAGTTACAGATTCACCCAAAATGATTTCTATGAAAATCAATAAAATCTTACTTTAATGATGTGAACTATAATTGAACCAATGTTTTCTAAAATGATTGAACCAAAAGGTGGTTGTGGCCTATAATCACAGCTGCTCGGGAGGCTGAGGCAGGAGGATTGAAAGTTAAGATCCACTCTGCACAACTTAGTGAGACCTTATCTCAAATTAAAAATTTCTTTTTCTTTATGGTTTTTTGAGACAGGGTCTCACTGTATATTCTAGGCAAGCACTCTACCACTGAGCTACATCCCCAGCTCTCCTTACTCTATATGCTAAGCTGGCCTTGAACTCACTGTATAGTCCAGGCTCAAACTCGTGGTGACCCTCCTGCCTCAACCTCCCTAGTGCTATGATTACAGGTGTGCACCACCTCACCTGACTCAGGGTAAAAATTTTAAGGGCTGGGGCTGCAACACAGTGCTAAAGCACTTATCTAGCATGTGCAAGACTCTGGGTTTAATGGTCAATATGAAAGAAGGGAAGGGAGAAAGGGAAGAAAGGAAGGAAGGAAGGAAGGAAGGAAGGAAGGAAGGAAGGAAGGAAGGAAGGAAGGAAGGGAAAAGAGATTGACCAAAACATTAAAGTATTATTTAAACCAAACCAGTATCTTTTTTACTTTTTTTTTGAGACAAGGTCTCACTATGTAGTTCAGGGTGCACTTGAACTCACTATGTAGCCCAGGTCAGCCTCAAATTTGCAGCAATCCTCCTGCCTCAGCCTCCTGAATGCTGCGATTCAGGTGTGCACCACCATGCCCAGCTCCCAAACAAGAAATTTTTGTTATGCATCTTTTCTGATAAACATCTTTAAAGCTCTTCATATTTTTGTTCTGATTATTGCATATCAAATCTCAGAAAATACAATGTTTCAAACAACTATTAACTCTTAATTCTGACAGACACTGCTAACTGCCTACCAAATCTCCATTCCATCCTATTTGTTTACTAAAACCCAGATTTACTGAAGGAGACAATGTATCCAACTTCCTTTCCCTGTTTCTTGGAACCAAGCCTGGCCATGTCTAAATTTCACACTCTGAAGTTTAAGTGCAAGTTGGGTAGAACTTCCAGGAAACTTGCTGTGGACTCGTCCTACGTTCTCCACAGCTCTGACCATGTGATGACGTTAGGAACGAAAGCCAGGCACTAAGGTCTGCGAGACGGAGATGCCAGAGAGGAGGCCCACTGTTACACGCAGCCAGTGCTAAAGAAGGGACATACTAAGATTTTTATAAACTCAACAAATGCTCATTCAGTACCTACAATTAGCACTGGGAAGCTGAGGTAGGAGGATTGTAAATTTGAGGCCATCTTGGGCTACATAGCAAGAGCCTGTCTCAAAAAACAAATAGGGAAAAAAAAGAAATGAAGGAAGGAAGGAAGGAAGGAAGGAAGAAGGAAAGGAGGAAGAAAAAAGAAAGAAAGAAAGGAAGAAAGAAAGACCCTTACATACCATGTTCTGTATTAGGGATCCTGACATAGTTGGGTGTGGTGGCGCGTGCTTGTAATCTCAGCACTTGGGAGGCTGAGGCAGGAGGATCACCATAAGTTCAAGCCCAGCCTGGGCTACATATTGAGACCCTGTCTCAAAAAAAAAAAAAAAAAAAAAAACTTACTTTATTTATCTAAGCCTCTTATATAATACTGTGGGGTTTGTCAAAACTTTTCACATTTCATGTTTATTAGTACAGCTGCTGTACCTGGTGACAGCATTCAACGTGAGGAGCCGCTATGTGGTACACACATCTTAATTCTTTACACTTCCCCTCCTCCTCCCTCCGGATCACACTCTTCCAAGGTCACTCCTGGTCTCCACGTGCGATCCCAGGGTCTCCATAGAAAGCCACTCATTACCTGGCTGCCCCACTCATTACCTGGCTGCCCCAGGCCTCTGTCCCTTCCTCAGACCCCAGGTCCAGTGACTCCATCTGCGAGGTCCCAGGGCAGCAGGAAAAAGCATTTTCATGACAACAGGAAACGCAGAGACGCCCAACACCTGACCACGCCCTCCGCGTCCCTTTAAATTTGGATGAGTTGGCAAGATTTTCAGAAGTGCAAATGCTACATAAAGTTCTGTGTCTCCAGCTTCCTGGGGCTCCTGGGGCACCAGACCTTTTTCTTGGTGGCCACAGGTGACCAGAGTGTCAGTCCCAGCCCTTGTGGTCATCTCCTCCCCACCCCTGGAGCTTGGGT